ATATATATATATATATATATATATATATATATTCGCGCTTGTTGGATATGAGATTATTATAGCCAACGAGGCGCGTAGCGCCGAGTTGGCTATCTATCATCTCATATCAAACGCGCGCTCGTGGAATAACTGTTAAATATATATAAATATATATCTTATTAGACGTTCTATTGTGTAATAGCGCTGAGTACTTTTACAAGTTGTGCAGTATTTTGACGAGCCGGTAGGGCCAGTCAAAATAAAAATAATGAGTAAAATACTCAGCGATACGACACACCAAAACGTCTAATAAGTTATTTCTTATCCAACACGCCAAATTGTTATTTCAGTGTGGGCGAGTTTCGTGGATATTTATTTACGGGGAGTGCGTGGCAGACGGATGCGAAGCGGAACCGAATTAGCGCGTTGTCGTGTTACTGTTTCTGTTTTCTTCAAAAGATGACGAGGTTTCAATGTCGTCTAGCTGCTTTTCTTCGTTCGATTTATCTAATAAACTTGGATCAATATTCGCCACCCATTCCGACTCTTCGTCGTCAGAGAGATAATTTAAATTGTTCGCCATTCTTTTTTGTTTTTGTAACTTCAATCGAACTCGTCGCTTGCGCGATGCCAGAAAATCTGTCTAACCGGTTCTCTAGAGTACAAATACCGCGTGATATTTGTACTCGTCTTGGGCGTTATTTGTACTCTACAGAGTGTAGTTCTATAGTAATTTGTAATCATTTGCTTTTTTCAAATTTTTCTGTAGAATTGTTAATTTTTTTTTTTATACAGAAGAGAAAAAAAACACCGCGTGGTAGCCGATTTTTTCAAGAATCAAGTATAAACTGATCAGGTTAGAGAAGTTTAACACTTTTGAGACTGTTTACTTAATGACTTTCCAACTCACCACGACCTTCCCATCTGCTCCTTTATAAGATATCCAATTTCCTTTGGTAGTGATATAAGAGAGCTTGAATTCCGTGACCCAACTACGTTCAATTCCTTGTGTAGAAACAGCGCACAAGTCAACTGTTCTGTTGAAGTCAACTCGAAGCCATTCTCCGCGGCTTGTTCCATTCCTTGCACACCAACCTTGTCCGTTTAGTCGGCCGTGAGAAGCTTGAAAGGACACTTCTCTTTGAGACGATGCTGTCATCTGCTGATCGGAGATAATGTCAGGATTGGCCACACCAACAGAATTGCTGAAGCAGTTGTCCACAAAATCTGCACAAATGAAGTTTCNTCCATGAGGTCATTTGACACATGTATAACGTAAGATAACGAGAGATGTCACCCGTATCTTTGCATTTAAAGCTTCAACATTTTACCACTGATCTACAGAAAACTCATAGTAGGCGAATTCGCATTTCCCATTCGAATTTGAAACTGAAGCATCGATATCTCACACGCTTCAGAATACGTAAGTTGCATGACTCCGATGACTCAGTATGGCGAGGATCGTAGTCATTTTGATACATTATCATAGACAGCTTTCTTGCCGGGAAGTGAATAACGTTCCAGAACCTTGCCTTATTTCTATTTCAGAGGGAAATGCATCTTACCTTTGCAGTTACTTCCTTGCCATTCCAACGGACAGACACAACTGTAACCTCCATTTACATCTTGACAAGTTCCTTTACCACATGGACTGGCTGCACAGCCTTCGTTATTTAAATGAACAAAATGTTTCAATCGTAGTCTTTTTAATACGGAAAAACTTTTCCTTCAACTTTTTGCGCCATTTAGTTTCATCCTAAGTCAAATAGTGATAGATTTCGTTAGTTGATGAAAATTACTCTCAAAAAGTACAAATCTTGTAGAATAACACCTTTTAATTGCATCGTTATGTTTCTACAACACAAAATGCCGAAATTCTTTTCTGCTGAGCTGAATACATGGCACGGTTTTGTGACATCCTAACGTCCCCAAATAAAGAATAATAAAGCTAGCTTGCACAGTGATAGAACGATGATGGATTTATGAGAACACTTAAACTTAATCAAATAGCGTGTGATGGGGTCTTGAAGATTAATTGCTGAAAAGTTGGTAAATGGGAGTATTTCACTGTTAGAAAATATTTTGGAATATATCATCAAAAATTTGTCATTTTTTTTTTTGTTAAAATCATTTTTAATGACCTCTAGAATTTTGATCGTCACGATTAAGTTCTTCTCCGCCATTGCTTCTACCCCCTCCGTCACTGCCACTGTCAGTTTCCGTTTCACTGTTACCAAGACTGAGACTGTCACTGTTACTGAAACTGACACTGTCCCTGTCACTGATACTGCTGCTGAGACCGTCACTACGGCTACTGCTACTGTTATCGCTGCTGCTGTTACTGTTACTATCACGGCCGTAAGCAACTTCACCGACTTTAGAGACAAGAGAGCCTTGGAGATTGAGAGCAACTTGAGGAGTATTTTCTGTAGGCTCCGCTGTCTCTAAACAGGGACAAATACTCTTATGCATCAAAGATTAACCATAACAAGATTTCTCTCGTAATATTTTTAAATTCACAACCCCCAAAGATGAAAAACCGTCTTTCTCAGGCATTTCTACATGATTAAGATGTTGCTGATTTCGAAAACCAGCCGGCAGCTCTCTGATATCTTGTAATGCTCTGGCTTAACAAGGCTTAAAAATATCGCGTAGCTTTATTGCTGAGCTTACCTCCTTCGCATTATTTCGTCATATCACAATTGCTCTGAGGATTAAAACACCATGTTTACCGATTAGTTGCAGATCATGTTTGATGTGTTTTGATGCAAGCCACGGATACTTGAGGTCTGCGTAGCAAAACTTGCCGCGTTTTTGTACTTTTTTCTTTATTTTTTGGCTAATTTAGTTTTTATGAGAAACATGATGAAAGTTGTAAGATGGAACTTTCTATACTCATAGTTTTAATTCTGCCTTTTAAGTAAAACAATTTGTCAAAGTCCATCATTTTTTAATGTTTTTTGTATTTGTCATCCGACTAGAACCACGGCCACATCTGCGCCGTTGTAATATTTTGATCGAGTATAATAAATGCCTCGACTAGCACTGCTTCGTTTACCGTTGAGAATTATATTTCAATCGCTTGCACATGAAGTTTTCATCAATTAGAAATCAAAATATTCAAACAACAACCGATATAATAATAACATTACTCCTCAGGAAAACCATCTACATGGGGGAGGGGTATGGGGAGTATTTGGTCTATCAGCTTTATTTTGGGGCAACCATTTTGAAACTTAGCACACCATAATTATCCGGCTTGTGCGAGGTGATTATGGCGAGATATGACGCAATCCTTGACCAATCAGAGCTTACATGCAAATACTCGGATATCCTCATTGACACATTTGTAATAAAATTGTTTGTTTGAGATTTTTCTCTCACCAACATTGAACAGAGACAAAGACGTTCAGCTTAAAAGAAGATCAATTTTACAGCGAATTTACCAATTTATTTGTTTATTTATTCATTTATTTGCGATTTTCAGACAGGCTTGCCCAGTTCAGCTTTAAAGCTAGTTTGAATAGGAGTTTGTATAAACACTAAGAGCACAAACAGTTCCTTTTTCTTTCAAAGAAGCGCATTCTTGAATGAAACCCTGCTAACCAGTACAGAGACGACAGGTACAGGGACTGTGGTTTAACATCCTTATCCAATATGACTATGATTCTAATCATTTGCGAAAGCATGGTTATTTGATTTCCATTAGCAGTATGCTTCTTAGTATGTGGTATAATAAGGAGAAGTTGGAAATCGATTCTTTCCGGGACTCTAAAACCCCAAACGTAGGCAGAAAAGGTACTCCGCTTTTTTTCNCCCTATTACAAGGAAGTATCATTCGACAGAGGTCATGTTGCCAAAAGAGCTTTAAAACGGCGACGCACATTACGAAATTTTTGCCTCTTTTTAAAAGTGAATTTCATCATATTAGTAAACTTTTTGGAACCTCAAACGGCGTGCAGTGTCATAATTGTGAAATACTTTTTTTTAATGAAAATGGTGGAATTATATTTTCTCAGAGGGTCGTAAGGGCATAAACCGCTGGCCATAAAATGGCAAAAAACTAAGCCGCTAGGCATGCAAATTGACAAACTTTAGGCTATGTCTACACTATACCGAACCGCTTTTCGTGTCGACATAAAAAACACTGCGGCATAGTTTGAAAAGAAACGGCCCAGAATTGAAACAAGTCTTTCACACGGGCGAGCGGATTGCACCGAAGCGTACGGGACGAAGAGGGCTTGCCATGTCTTTCCCGGAAGTGCGTGGCCACTTCTTGAACCTCTTCCATTGTCTACAGATGTTTGATATACTGCGGACCAAGCAGCCTAGAAATAGGCATGGTGACACGTCTCACCACTTTTGAAACAGTTGATTTACCAATGCCAAAAGCATTGGCCACATTTCTCAAACGCCCTTCATCTTCAAGATAATAGAGCGTGACAAAAACTTGTCTTTCGACAGATAATGGCATTCGCCTCCTTGTAGCTTGTCCTTCTAAGGTAAGCCTCCGGTCGTCACATAACTTCAGGAATGTCTCGCGGTTCATACGAAAATTTTCCTTCCATTTAGCTGCAGCCACTCTTTGGGTAATAAAGTTGTCCCGCCATTCATTACATCTCCCGGGCCTGCCTGACCCAAAATGATCTTCCACAAGGAAACCTGACCTTCCGCTAGTCCTCTTTCTTAAATCCTTTGGCATCAGCAAAAGTTAAAGTCGTTTCAGTCGTCTTTTCCGGTGATTCAAAGCAGTTAAATTCTTGAGGCCTTGTGAGGGATTTATTCCTATCGTTTTCGTTTTTTCTTTTAATATTTTATATACTTTTTATATACTTTTTACACTGTCTATTGTTTACATAGTTAGTATTTGTGTATTTCTCGTAAGGACACACTTAATTTGGGGCCCCGCTCTGTTGTGTGTCCCGCACCCTTGTCCTCCGTTCTCTTCTGTGTCTTGTTCATATGTATATTCTAGTCCTTTTAGTATTGTAAGTATGGTGAAAGCGATTAAATAAATAAATGGGTACAGCGTTCGAGATAACAGAAATCAACTTAAGTGGCAAGGCCGCCCTATTGTGGAATCTAATCCTCCCTCCGAGTTTTTTACTTCCCCTGCGGTCCGGAAGCTGTTCACACGATGCCAAAGAGTGGTACGAAAATCTATCCGATACGTGACGATTCACTTTCGAGATCGAAGCGGCGCAGCGTCGCTCCGTTGTAAAAACCGCGCCGAAATCAGCGTTGCCTTTGTGAACAGAATCCCTATCCGATATGGTTTTTGTATCGGTGCACGAGCTATCCGGTATAGTGTAGACATAGCCTTAAGCGTCAGTCGTAAGAGATGTTAACAGTTAAAAATTTTCCTCTCTACGATGTGCATTTTCTTAAAAGTGTCAAATTATCTGTTATTTATAGAACAGCCAAGGGTTTAACTGTTATCAATAAAAGCCCCCTCCCCAATGACACCCTCTTTTTTAGGACCATCCTTCGGCTTTCACAATACGTTTTTGCCAAGCCTCCCCTGTCTAGTTCTCTCTCTCTTCTTGGCTGCAAACGTACAGCGAAACATTACTTTTCCTTCGCGCTAAAGCAAATCGAGTCAGTTAATCTTGAGGTTTAGAGCAAAAAATCACTCGTTACATAATGTATGCCACAAACATCTTGGTAAGTGATTATGGGTTACTTAACCTTACTAGAGTCGTAGAAATTTCAATTACGAATTTAAAATATGTACTTAACCATTACATTTTTCATGTAGGAATAAAACCAATTGTTTGTAACCTGGAGCTAAAAACAAAAATTGCTCTTGTTATTTGTAAAATATATCGGGTCGATGACGAAACAGCGCTGATTGAAACCTTAAAACGTATCCATGGATTTCCTTCAGAAACTTTAGCCAAAGTAATAACGGAAGAAATTATGTTATTATCCACAGATGCTTCTAGATTGAATCTAAATTGTCTCCGGATAAATTCACATAGCGAGTAAGATTTTGTAAATAAAGTAAACTAAGGATAAATTGTTTAATTGCGGGAGCCAAAGTAATTCACTAATGATGCCTGAATTTTGTAAGAAATAGACAACTTTTTTGAGAGACATGTTTCGGCATGCTTATGCCATCTTCAATCAATGAGTAACAGAACGTGAGTAATTACATAACAGACAAGTAGATGAATAAAATATTTCCAGTATGATGTAATACAAAAGCGGGTACCAAGTACAACGTGACACCAAACATCAAAGGTGCGAACTAAAACGCTAGAAAAGCGTTATAATGCTGTCATTGTTTGTTAAGTTCAGGCTTGATCTTATTTATATAAAAAGCTTCTTTGGGTATTAAATCAATTGAGTTGTTAGAAGCCTGAATTGTTAGAGCCAGATTCATTTTCCCAAATGGACTAATAAATTGACAAAAAATTCAACAAAAATCCTATCTCCGGTAATTACCCAATTTAAGGACGAAAATTTCTTCTACCTTTTAAATTTTCCGAATAGAATATGAAAAGCAAGTGAAGAATGCCATCCCTCTCCGTTTTGGTTCACATACTTTTGAACTCGTATCGAACAACCCCAATTTCAAACCCATGCCTCCTTGGGAGCGCCTAGATCTTTGAAAGAAAAATTACAAAGATGCAGTAGCATAATCATGGGTCAGTGAGGATCTAGGTGAATGTTCGGGCCACTTAGAAAAACATTGAGGTAAAAAGAAGAATTCTAGCAGTATGCGGTCGAAACGTCAAGATCCACATTGGAAGTTACGATATCATGAGAAAAAGGATTATACTTCAATGACTGGCGTCTGAAACATTTCAAAAGGACTGATCGTTTGTAAATGGAGTTGAGAGACACCTACAGAGTGGGACGTGATATCAAGGATAGAATTATTCCATACTTTAGAAATGAAAAGTGTTGTACGTTTAACACACGTGCGACCAATGCAAGGCTAGCTAAGGTTCATAAATCTTGCTGACCTAAAATGACACCAGATAAAGAAGATGCAAATCTTACGGAATTTCTAACGACAAGAATAAAACTAAAGCTGAACGAAATACCC